AAAAAAAAAAAAAAAGAAGTTACTCCACTGTCATCTCACTTACATGGTTTACAATAAGAAATCTGCTGTCTTTCTTATTTTCTCTGTACATGTCTTTTTTCATTGTTTACTTTTAAGATTGTCTTATTATCACTACTTTTGAACAACTTGTCTATGATGTGGCTTGCTTGTTGCTATGGTTTGAATATGTTCCCCAAACTCATGTGTTGGAAACTTAATCCCAGTGCCACAGTGTTGGTAAGTGGAGCCTAATAAGAGGTGATCGGGTCATGATGCCTCCATTATCATGAAGGTATTAATGTCGTTATCACAGAAGCGGGTTATCTCTGGAGTGGCTCTGTTATAAAAGCAAGATGTCTTTCACATGGGCGATCTTGCCCTTCTGTCTTCTGCCATTCTGCCATGGGATGACCCTCACCAGATGCTGGAGCCATGCTCTTAGACTTCCTAGCTTCCAGAACTGTGAGCCAAATAAACTTTTCTTTAAAAATTACCCCAGTCTGTGGTATTCTGTTATAGTAGCAGAAAATGGCCTAATAATTGTTTTCCTCATATTTCTTGTCCTTGGAATTTTTTGAAATTCTTAGATCTGTGTGTTTACAGTTTTTATTAGAAAATGAGAGTTTTTCAGCCATTATTTCTTCAAATACTATTTCTTACCTGCCCTTCTCTCCAACTGAAGTTATTTCACTATTCACTGATGCTCTGTTCATTACGTAAATTCTCTTTTCTCTTTGTTTCTTTTTTTACAACCCTTTTACTGATGTAATTTACATACTATAAAATTCATCCTTTAAAGTTTACAATTCAATGGCTTTTAGTACATTCACAAAGTTATGCAACCATCACTATTATTTCTAATTCTGGAACATTTTTATCACACCAATAAGAAAATTCACACCCATTAGCAGTTGCTCCCTATTCCCCCTCCTTCTGGCCCCTGGCAACCATTAGTCTACTTTCTGTCTCTATGGACTTGCCTATTCTGGACATTTCATATAAATGGAATTATATAATATGTGACCTTTCTGTCAGACTTCCTTCACTCACCATAATGTTTTCAGGGTTTATTCATGTTATATCATGTATCAGTACTTCCTTTATTTTTACTGTTGAGTAATCCATTGTATGAATATATGATTTTTGTTTATCCTTTCATCAGTTAATGAATATTTGGATTGTTTCCACTTTTTGGCTATTCTGAATAATGCCGCTATGAACATTTGTGTACAAGCTTTTGTGTGGATGTATGTTTTCATTTCTCTTGGGTATAAACCTAGGTGTAGAATTTCTGGGTCTTATGGTAACTCTATGTTTAAACTTTTGAGAAAGTGCCAAGCTGTTTTCCACCATTTTACATTCCCACCACCAGTATAGGATGGTTCCAATTTCTTTGCATCCTCACTAACACTTGTTATTATCTGTCTTTTTTTATTATAACCAACTTATCTGATGGAAGGTCATATCTCACTGGGGCTTTGATTTGTGTTTTTTAGTGGTTAATGATGTTGAACAATTTTCCATGTGTTTAACTTTTCCATATGCTTATTTTCCATCTTCAGATCCTTTGTCCATTGTTTTAAATTGAGTGGCTTTTTATTGAGTTGTAATAGTTTTTTATATATTCTGGAGGGCAGTCTCTTATTAGATATATGACTTGCAAACCTATTCAGTGGGCTGTCTTTTCACTTTCTTGATGGTGTCCTTTGGAGCACAAAAGTTTTTAATTTAATAGTCAATGAACATATTTATATGCATGCAATCTCACTAGAGATAAAAGATAAAAAGAAATAAGAATTTTTTAACCTAGTAGATTGGCAGATTGGTAATTTGTAAATTGGTAATTTTTCATAAGAAAAATTAAGTTTATTATTAGAAAAATTTGAGCATTCTCATAAAGTTCTGGTGGGAATTTAAATTGAAAAGTTTTCTGTATACTATTTGACAATGGATCTCCAAATCCCTAAAAAAACCTATGTATCCTTTGACTCAACAGTTCCACTTCTAGAAGTTTATCCTAAAGAAAAAGTTGAACAAATTTGCAAAAATGGATTTTATCACTGCAATGTTTACAGAACAGGGAATTGGAAGAGAAAAGTCTAACAATAGTGGATTGGTTAACTGTATTATGGTAATCCACATAATAAGACATTATGTAATTATTATAAATGATAATTTGCATCAAGGATCACCACCAAAGAGGCCCAGAGGGTCCAGGTGTAACACAAATGTGTGAAGAGGCTCTCTAGCAAACTGGACAGCTCTCTAGCTTATGCCCCTTTTAGAGAAGGCAGTTCCAATTAATTGATGCCAATGAAGAAGTGTGTGTAGTGGTTGTGAGGTGGGGATGTGGGATGTCTTGTGTTGGCAGAACAGCCAATATTTTAAAAGAAGCAGGAAATGGAATTTTATGTGACATTTTCTGATTTTCAAAAGTTGTCTATTGCTTAAACATTTTTTAAAAAACATTCATTGGCCACATAAAACACATCATTTATGCACTAGATTCAGCTCAAAGACTAGGAGCTCTAATGTACATATAAATTTATTGACATAGAAAGATATCCGTGATATACTGTTAAAAGTTTTAAAAATCCTGTTACAAACAGCTTATATAATGCGATCTCACATTTGTTAAAAATAAAAGCATATTTACACATATATAATCTCTAAACAGTGTCTGAAGAGATATAAATTAAAATATTAATAGTGGGTGATTTTTATTTTCTTTTGTATACATTTCTCTATTTTTGCATTTTTATATTGATCATTAATGTTTTATTTTCAGAAAAAATGGTATAGCTCTTTGTATTTGCAGTTATAAAGGAAAGAGTTAATAGTATGGTTTAAATTTTTGAGAATAATTTAAAATCAAAATCACTAAATAAATACTCTAGCACATAAAATCAGACAGACCTGAGTTCAAAGCCAATTCTTCCATTTAAGACTTCAGTGGCCTTGGGCTTTCTCACCTGTAAAGTGTCAGTGATATCACCTACCATCTCCACCTCAGATCCCCTTGATGATGTGAAAATGAATAAATAAATACAGGATTAATATCTATAACATTACCTTCCTAGTATCAACAAAAGCTAAGTGGACAGAAGGGGGCTTTTTTGTACTGCAGTTGGAGTCTAGAAGGAAACAGACACTGGTAGAACGTAACAATGTAGTGGAACCACAATAAACAAAAGGTTTTGCTTGTTTGCTTTTGCTATTCTATCTGGAGACAAGAGCATCACAAGGCCTTTACCCTTGCAACTTCTCCACTCTCACAATCCAAAGCTCCCCTGCTCACATTCCCTCCCTGTCAAGCAAGGACACCCAGAGGCATGGAGCAGAGAATGGCTGACAACCCATTGCCAGAAGGAGCATCAGATGAGGTGGATCCATATATCACGTTGTCAAGAATATTTAGGTAAGTCCTGATTGTGAGTGGAGCTCTAGGACACACAGAATAAACTAGGGAAGTTATTTCGAAAGATTGGATTTGAGCCTGAAGTAAAGAAATACATATAAATATTCTTTGAGAGTTTGCCACCCCTTTATGTTTTCTTCCCACCGACCCATGTCGCCAGGAAAGGCATGAATTTACCCAAGTGGAATTCAAGGAGGTGAAGTGGTCTACAAGTAAAATCAACCAACTGGCTGATGTAAGGTGGGTTTTGTTTCGGTCTGTTCCACCTCTTTTTCATTGTAAAGGTCACAGATATCTGCATTCCACTATTCTTTCTACCAACAGATTACGTATAATGGAGGGTAGAGAAATTTTTTCAAGCCATTGAAATTCCACTATTCTTTCTACCAACAGATTACGTATAATGGAGGGTAGAGAAATTTTTTCAAGCCATTGTAAGTCCACTAGAAATTTGCCTTAAAATGACTTTAGGTACCTCCTCCCCAAGTGCCCAGATTTAAAACAAGGGAGTAATCTCATCATTTCTGGTCAATAGAAATAGTGTACTTGCTAAGATATTTTTGGTATAATAACACATTTTTGCTATCTTTCCTTTTTCAATTAGCTCACAATAAAAGAAAACAGTAAAAGTGCTTTTTCATATCTTTACTCTTTCAGTAATGTGCAACATGAACATAATAGTGTTAAGAAGTCAGAAATAACTTAACACAGAAGCTATAGAAGATGTTTATATTTGCAAAATTTCAACAATTATCTTCTCTAGATTCCCCAAATTAGCAGATTTGTTAATCAAATTAATTAAGAAGCTTTTCAAAATAAAAGCAATTTTAAATAAATATATTCTTTCATAACCATAGAACATTCAGTTCTGTTGGAGGTAACAAACAATATACTCAAGTACTTTATGAAGACATCAGGGTAAAAATAATCTAGAGGCAATTATAAATGTACCCTAATTAGTCATTTGCTTCTTTTTGTGTGTATGTTTTTCCAAATGTGTTAAAATTATATCATAGAGCTTTTGTAATCAGTTAGTTCTTAAATCATCACAAAGATGTTATCTGACCCACAGAATTAATATCAGCTCAACGTGATGATGTGATATTGTTTGAACAATATCTTTAAATTTAAATGTAGTACCCCAATCAAAGCCAAGACTTCTTAGCTACCCATGTCTGTCATAGAAAATAAATGCTAGACTCCTAGTTTGGAAAAATGAGACCTTCCTACAAATCTTGAAATTCCACACGATCTTATAGTCACATCAAAATTTGAATTACAACAGAGCTTTCGGTGCGTTTCAGAGTACCACATAGGGAGATATAAATTCTCTTATGATCAGCTTTCCACTAAAATCGTATGTTTAGTAAATGACTACAGAAAACATCCTAAAAATGGATTTCTTTAATAAATATTTTAAAGAGTTTGCTAACTGAAGAAATGACTTTTCTGATCTTTCCAGAAATTCTAATCATCTCTTTAATGTTTTATTCATTTTTATTTCTACTGTGATTCTTAGGAATTTTTCTAATCTATATTCAATCTATCAAAACATCTATGCTTTGATAAATTTGGCTTCCTTCAATAATAAGCTATTCTAAGATCTCTAAATTAAATGACAGAGGCAGAGAGGTAAAATCGAACACAGCAACAGGTTACGGTAAGTGCTTTTAGAATTTCAGATTAACACATTTGTCCCAAAATGGTAAAGATAAAGGAATAACTTACTAAATGAATAATGCAACACAGAATAGGTTTTAACAGAATTTCTCTCTCTTGCTTGCTCTCGCGCGCGCGCGCGCACACACACACACACACACACACACTCTTCTACACACATTCACACATAGGTGTTGACACGTCTCAGAATTTAAAACACTGCTACTAAAGGCTTTAACTTAGATAAATTAACTACACTAAAATATTGACATTGTGAAAATATATGTTTAAGTCCAACACCCCATACAGGGCATCTTTTTGTGAACTTCTAAAAAACTTAAAGAAAACAAGAACAAGAAACCAGAGTCCTTGCCAAGAAGGATGTGAGTATGGGGCCATGCTGCGCGGGGTCACAGCTTCCCGTTCTCCTCGCCACTCTCCTTCTCCTCTATGGCTTCCAGGCTGCGCTTGCTCTTGGCCTCGGCACCGCTGCTGGGGGCTTTGCTCAGTCCACAAGACAAGCACGCCAGCTGGATCTGCTTCATGTTTTCTATAGCTTCATGCTTGGCATTCTTCAACAGATCTCCTTGGCCCTACAAACAGGAAAAATAGACACTGAAGAAGAAAGTTATGGGCCAGGCACATTGAGTGACATCACTCTATAGCCTTAGTGCCATTGCTAAATGAGGAAGGAAACAGATCCAGACCCGCAAGCTCACTTTTCCAGGGTTTAATACAAGCTTCGTTTCTAAAATTTTTGAAAGACTTAGCTCTTTAAGTCAAGGACCTCAACCTGAACCTGACCTGGCTCTGTGGCTGTTAGCAGTCTCCTGAGATTCCTGTCTTGGGGAACCCTCCTCTTTATGTACTGAGGGCAGGCAACTCTTCCATCACCATGGTTTGTGACTTTGCATACTGCTGCAGTTCCTACCCCACCTAGACCTAGCATTCCTAGGCTTGGGAGAAAACAAGGAAAAGATGCTCTTCCTTAAAGAAGTGAAAATAAAATCAGCTCCTCAGTGTACAAGGGTTTACACGGCAATGTATCTTCTGTAAAGTAAATCACATCCCCTTATTCTTGGTGAGCTGGTTTTTAATATATTGGGCTATCCTGGCAATCTGCCTGTTGTTAAATTGTTAGTTACCCACTTTCCTTCTGTCTTTTCCATCATCTTGAGGACAATGTTCCCATCTGGCTAATGGAGAAAAAGTCTCCGAAGGCTCAAAATGTCAATCAGAACAAAAAGTAAATGAGGATTGCAGAACACATTAGCTGTCATTTACATCAGTGCCCAACAGAGATCTTCTCTGCAATTTTTATTTCTTATTTTGGTTCATTGCTACAATCATCAAGTGCACATGGTGATACTGACCCAGGGGCGGAAGGACTAAGTGTGAGGAAGCAGGAATATTTCTATAGTATATAGACAAAAGAGGAAGCAGCTCCTTCTCTGTCTCTCTCCTCTTCATTCTCACAGCCATGCCTGAGAGTATGACCTTGAAACTAAAGGACAACATGGGAGGATACGTGGGGTACACTGATTGCTGGAGCGTTCTATAAAGCGGAGGCTCAGGTAAAGGATAATTCACCTACTTTATGCAAGATCCTCCATGATGCCCTATTATATCTTTTTAATTCAATGAATGCTTCCTTATGGTGTATAAGGAAGCTTGTGTTTTAAAAGCCTTGGGATATTTCGTTCCACAAAATCTAAACAGGCACTTTCGAATTCTATCTTATGTAATAATAGCTAAATCCTTCTAAGAACAGTCTTTGACTATATAGGATGAATAAACAGTTGGGCTTTGCCTAATGTTTGTGTTAAAGTGAACTTTCCTTCAAGTACCTGAGTCATGGCACAGGATTTTAGAAGACTTGGAGGCTGTATTGTTCAGCCTTCTCATGAAGAGGAATGAAACTGAGACTGATAAGGCTAAATGACTGGCCCAAGGTCACAGCTGGATACTGACCAAAGTGGGACAGAAGTTCAGGTCCTCCGCCTCCTGCATCGGTGCTCTATTCCACACAACTATGTTTGTAATCTAGTCTAAGACTAAACACTGGAGATTAGAGACTGAAGACTCTGTCAGAGAGAGACACATTTTCTAAGGAAAAAATATTCACTTCACTAGCAGAATCTGGGGAGTCCATTCTTAACAGTATAGGCATAATGAATAAGTGCCCTCCGGACATTGAAAGTGAAGTCACATCCACTTTAAAAAATGCAACTCTCAAGCAATAATAATAACACGAGAATGTATAGAGTGCTGACTCTGTGCAAGCACTTTTATGTTTTATGTTCATTCATTCAATCTTCACAACATTCCAATGAGACAGGCACTTTTATTATTGTCAATCTACTGATGAAAGAAACTGAGGCCCAGAGCAATCCCCTTTCCCAAAGTCACACCGCCGCTAAGTGGTAGACCTGGAGCTTTAAAGTCCAGAAGTTGACTCCAGAGTCTGTGGTCTTAACCACTCCATGATATGGCATCTTTTTAAGGCAAAGCATGCACTCTCCACAAAGCACATTAAAGCTTCCTGTTCATTGTTACCCATGGAAACAACACAGATAAAAAGGAAAGCATTGCCCATGTGACACAGCCTAACAGAACTTAGAAATGGATCTAGAGTCAGGAAGGTAAGAAGCAAGAACACACTGGCAGGGACGAAAGTCAGAGCATCTTCCACCAATTTCTCCCCGGCCCACTTTCTCTTCTGTAAAATAGATGAAAATAACCTTTGGTCTTCCTCACAGTTCTAAGACTAAAGAAAATATGTTGAAGAGCTGTTCATGAGTTAAATAACCAGAATAGGAATTGCAATGCTATAAGGTGAAAAGCAGTTAACATTATCTACTGCTATAATAAATACCTTTGTACTGGGTAAATTTTAATAAAAATTTGACTAACTTGTTTAAAAATGCATCTACAAGAGTCTGTTTTACAGATATATATCACTACTGTTTTTACAAATGGAAAAATTCCTTTAAAAACAATTAATAATGAGATTATACCCACTTTCATTTTCAGAGTATTACTTCTAAGTGTTTCCTTTTTATTTAGTTTTAAAATTTTCCTCAAACATTTTAAAAGCATCACAGAAGCAAAACTGGCATCTTCCCTAATTGCAAGAGAGCAATGAAACGTGCAAAAATAAAAAGTTTGATGCTACTAATGCATACTGTTCTCACATCCCCTTTTTCCTATTGCAGGTTATGAAACATATTTTAATCAGCCAGAATGTCATCTCATTGGTTCTGAGAGGTGGCATCCAAGCCTAAATGCCAGACCGTGCCAGTTCTGGTGTATAGAAGTCGGTCTCTCTAGAAAACAATGACCGATTGGAGAAAACAGTTTGTACCAGTGCACAAGAACACAGCTATATCATTTCCTGATAACCCAGGAGACAACATGTACTGGCTGCAAGATACAGGCAGAAAAAACAAAAATAGAAAGACCAGAAGTTAAACTGTTAACTAATAAAGGAAGAAAAAATGAAAGGCTAAGTTGTGAAAAGTGTATGTTGAAACATTTATGTAACATTTTGTCTTCTATTTCTAAAGAAAGAGGAATAGAGATCATCTTTCTATTCTATGGTTTAAGGAATCACATACTTTCTTTGGGTCTTCCCAATTAAGTTATGAGAACCAGAAAAGACCCATTGTAGGCAAAATTGCAGGGAGAGTGAAGTTGACTGTTAACAACTCAAGTCCTAGCATTCTTTTTTGTGCTGCAATTTCCCATTTTATGTGTAGCACTTTCCCCTAACCATCTAGCAACCTCTCTACTCTGTCACAAACACCCCCAAGCTCCTCCTAACTGGCCAGCTTACACAAGATCTCCCTCCAAACATCTTTGTCCTGTGTATCATTTCCTCCAAGATGTATTAGCTACAGTATTCAGATCAGCTAAGCCATTTAAAGGTATTAGTCTGTAGTATATATTTAAGGAGTATTCTAGGAGTGCATTTTCAAGAATATGCTTTAATCCTTCTCTCCGCAAACAGAGGTCTTAGGGGAGGAAGAAGAAGGGGAGAAGCCAAGCAGAATTCATTTTACTTGGTGGTATATAAATCGAAACACCTCTTGTATACTAAAATAGGTCTGGGATTGTCATGGCATGGAATGCAAAATTAATGTATAATTTGACCACTGAACACTCAACTTGAAAGAAATGTCAAGCTGCTGCCAGCATTTCTACGCTAACAACCCCATGAAGATTTATAGTTTCCCCTCTTCTGGTATTAGGAATGCTTCAGGGGAAAAAAAAATGGGAAGGACTGCTTTAACCCAAAGGAAAGTGAGGGTAACAGAAAGCGTCTCAGGCAGGCTGATGCTAAAGGGATAACAGGACTAACAGAAGTGCCAACAGCAACAGCCACTGTTCAGCCTTCGCAGTTACTTAGCTTCTGAATGTAGAATTCCATGGCAATTCCAACACATTTAGAAAGTAACACTTGGAGTCATGGAAAACCACATGGATCATTACAGAAATTTTGAATCCAAAAATTGGTGATGATTAATGAATATTGAAAAAACAAACACTAAGCATTCCTTACCAAATCCTTCCCACTGCATTAAACTGCAATTCAAGCACATTATCTAGAAATCAGGAAATATCTGATGCAATCTAGATTGCAAACAGGCTACTGTACCATATCACCACAATTATGATTACTACTAATAAATTTATTACTGACAACAAAATACTATCACAACACTAAACAGCAGCTAACATTTACTGAACATTTAATATACTAAGTGTAAACTAATTTGCACACATTATCTCATTATATCATTATCATAAAAGAGGCTAGAATTCTAAATGTAAATTATCTATTCGTTATATATTTTATAATCTATCAAAAGACATTTGGGATTTGTGTTATTCCTGTTCTTACCAAGAAACGCAGTCCCCCATCCCATTTGAAAATAGCTTTGGCTAACATCTGGCACGGTAACTCACAAAAGACATCCCATGGCTCCTTCACACCCATTTTTCCCATGAACTGCACTATCCCCTGTGATATCAGCGCACTAAAGAGCAGGAGAACATAATAACGAGTGTCCTCATCACGTGTGAAGGAAATGCGTGGGTTGTTTCAGACCATACCACAAATATTTAAAGCAGTTAATTGGGACTCTGGGAATGGAAAGCCACTCACAAATACACAACTACACACATAAACAAATGCAGCTCTGTCTCCAGGCCGACTCACACGGGTATCTTTGAGCACACACTCAACAGCAGACTGATTTCCCTGACCTTCTTTCTCTGGGAGAGTCACATCCACACCTAGAATCACCCATGGATTGCACTGCAGCAAAAGTCAGCCACAGACCCCACAGGGGATAAGCAGCTCTTGATTTGCTCCCGCTACCACTGGTGGACCATACTGTGGTAGGCTGTGTACCACCGCTGTCTTACTAGTTCAAAGACCATGCTTTGGGGGAATCTCTTTATCATTTAAAGAAGTTAAATGCTTTGCTCCAAAGAGGTAAAAAAAAAAAAAAAACTGTTACGATGTTCTCCATTTGAGCATTTGAGAAAACGGCAGATCAAAAATGTTTTGATGTCATGACAGATGTAC